TTTTCAGAATTACCCTTAAAAATAAAGAATCAAGGTCACGAACTCACGCCATACACAAACCTGATCTCAAAACGCATGAAATACTTGTATATAAGACCTGAAACTGTAAAAATGCTAGAAGAAAACAGCGACAGTACACTCCTTGAGATAGGTGGTCATCAATGGAAAAACAGATAAAGAGGAGGTAGTAGGTATTTAATGGAACACTATTCAGTCATAAAACACATGAAATTTGCCATTTTCCACAACATGGTGGGACCTGGAGGGTATCATGCTAACAACGTAAGACAGGCAGAAAAGACAAACAGCATATGATTTTACCCATATATAGAATACAAAAAAATTACAAGAATAAATAAATTTAAAAATTAATGATGAAACCAAAGGGCACCAAAACAAAGACATAGATGCACAAGACAGAATACTGGAAACCAGAGGGGAAGTGGCAGGCAGAAGGCCCAATGGGTAAAATGGGTCCACAGGATGGTAACAGATGGAAACCAGTTTTTTGGTCCTGAGCAGGTGCGTGGTGAACAGGAGCTGAAATATATTGTTTTGTTTTGTTTTTAACAATTCATGTTTTTTTTAACATCTTTATTGGAGTATAATTGCTTTATAATGGTGTGTTAGTTTCTGCTTTATAGAAATATACTGTTGTAAACATAAAACTTATCTAATATTATAACTGAATGATACCTCAGTAAAAAAAGAAAAACAATAGAATTGTAAATTTAAAAAAATTAAAGAATCTTTACCCCATTGCCTAAAGCCATATCACTACATATGTTGACCACTGTCCTATTTCTCTGGGCGATTAACTGAACACCAAATTTACTTCAAACCAACCTGAAATCCAGCCGTGCTCCTCCTGTCAGTAGAATCTCAGAAAAGTGGGTGCTGGACAAACCCCACTGGTTGAGATGCAGCTTCCAAGGTGGCTGAGGAAGGGTCCATGGAGCAAGTTTTCTTTCCGAGCTGACTTTTATGCTGCTCCAAGCTCACAGGACCTTGTGAAGCCTTTCATACCCAAGGAAGGAAATCTGTCACAATCGATAGACAATAGAATTGGTTGCTCATTCTCCTCACACAAGACTGTTTTTCACCCTGACTGTTCCCCAGAATCCCTTGTGGAGATTTGAAAAGTAATGATGGGTCAGTATCATCCTTGTATGTGTTCCTGTAAAGGGACTCAGGCCTGTGGTTTCGGAACTGTGCTACTTTGTGCTACACGAACACAAGTCATCCCAGTAGATATCCTGGAATAATTTCCCTTGAGATTTGTGTTCAATATTGATGTGTGTCAAAGGATAACATTCCAAGTTCTTCAGACAAAGTGGGGAGATCTGCTTTGTGAGAACATTCATTTTTTTCTTCTGGAACAGTACATCGCACAAATTATTTTAAAAACTGGCTTGCATGATGGCTGATAGTTTCAGGCATTTTATAATCCTGGAGGTTTATTCCATGAGCTTATGCGGGGGTGACAAGGCTGGGTTCCTCTTTAGTGAGAGTGCTAGGCACATAATTCAGGAATCAGCTGAATAAGATACAGAGTATGATCGTGGAAGGAACTCTTCATCCACTTAGCTCAATTCAGAGGTTTTGGGACAAAATAACAAAGAGATTTCTGAGGTCTGGGAGGGCAGACATGCCTGTCTCTCTAGCCCCAGGTGGTTTCCATCTGCAGACATAGGTTGAGGGGCCTCAAAAAGTGTAGGACTAGATAGATGTCTTTGAGACTTCCCCATGACCTTGCCTGACCAGGGTCGTGACATTCTGGGAAACATGACCAGTGGAGCTGAAGATCAGAGCTGTGTCACCACCAGGGCCTGAAAGGGTAGATGGGGTTGAGGGACGTTGGAATAAGTGGAGCTGAGTTGTGTGGAAAGAGCTGTGGAGAAAGGGGACACTCAGAGAGTGGGGCTGAGTCTCTGCCCACTTTCCGAGGGTGCAGACCTGAATCCCTGTGTTTACAGGGGCATAAAGAAAACCAGACACCAACACTTAGCTCCTTTAGCCACAGACTTTATTGTTTGAATATTTGCAACTATTATTCTATACACAAATTTTAATTTCTTCCAAACTCTACATTCTATATTGCTAGATCACTTCACTGTCCTTTTTATGCCACATTTTCATGAAGAGGTATTTCACCAAATCACAGTTTGCCTGACTGTATGTTAAAGGATTCTTTTAGAGGCTCCTTCTTCCACATACTCAAGTCATTTTTTTCTGATATAAAATCTAGCTATAGCTCCATTTTGATTTTTAGGATTGCTGCATCCTCAATGTGAGAATTTAATGTTGACTAAGAAATAAGTGACCACTGAAAACTTCCCTTCCTTCAGAACACTGAAGGTGTGATGTACAGTCTGAGCACACATGTACCAGAGAGGTTGCTCTATGAATAAAGAATTTCTCATGACCTTACATTGAATAACTTCTCCAGTATGAATTATTTGTAAGTATGCTCTGGTGTTGCTCAGCAAACTTTCGTATTTCTCAAGAGCCTTCATCTTTGTTCTTGATTTAGTGTTTATTCTTTCGCTGAGTTTCTTGTGCACATCAAGCCTGGTGCTTGGCTGAATGTTTATTTACAGTTATTATAGTCTTAGTGGTTCTCCACTGGGAGTTGGCTCATGTTGACCATAATTATCAAAGGAGAACTAGGGGTTGGTTATCCTCTGCTCAAGCCCTCTGGGACAGGGGTCCCCAACCCCCAGACCATGGACCAGTACTGGTCTGTGGCCTGTTAGGAACTAGGCCGCACAGCAGGAGGTGAGCGGCGGGCAAGCAAGCAAAGGTTCATCTGCTGCCCCCCATAGCTCGTATCACCACCTGAACCATCCCCGTGACCCCCATCTGTGGAAAAATTGTCTTCCACGAAAGTGGTTCCTGGTGCCAGAAAGGCTGGGGACCACTGCTCTAGGGTCTTTAGAGTTGGGAGCTGTTGCTAAAAACACCCATACTGTATTTACAGAGTGAGTTCTGCTAAGTTACCTGAGGTCAGGCCAATGACTAAAGGCTTTGCCACAGAGACAGGGCACATATGGATCCACATCCACAGGTGATGCCTGTCTGGACTGAGGAGTGTGATGCCTGAACAAGTGTCCATATTGATTACACACAGAGTTTCTTTACTGGGTGTGAACCTTGGTGTGGTTAGATGCTAAAGCTATGCTGGTGTTCCATCCACATTCCTCACATGTATGACACCATGTCATCTCAGGTCAGAACGTCTACTGAGGGCCCTCCTGACTTTCTCTCCAGTGCTGAGTTCCCTCATGTCGTCTAAGGGAAGATTCGTGACTGAAGCATTTCCCACACCACTGACATTCATAGGGCTGCTCTCCAGTGTGGGTTCTCTCATGTCTTCTCAGGTTTGTAAATTGACTGAAAGCATTCCCACACTGCTGACATTTATAGGGTTTCTCTCCTGTGTGGGTCCTTTTGTGCCGAGTCAATTCAGAACTGTGACTGAAGGCCTTCCCACACAGAAGACATATGTGTGGTTTCTCTCCAGTGTGGATTCTCTTGTGCTGACTAAGTCCAGAGCTCTGACTAAAGGCTTTCCCACACTGATGACATTCATAGTGCTTCTCTCTGGAATGGATTTTCTTATGTTTTCTAAGGTAAGAGATTTGATTAAAACTTTTCTCACATAGATGGCATTTATATGGCTTCTCTCCTGTGTGAATTTTCTCATGTTCTTTCAGGTAGGAACTTTGACTGAAGACTTTCCCACACACATGACATTTATATGGTTTCTCTCCAGTGTGGATCCGCTTGTGATTTCTAAGGTTAGAACTTTGAAAAAAGCCACTTCCACAGAGATGACATTTATATGGTTTCTCTCCAGTATGAATCATCTTGTGTCGTCTGAGGCTAGAGGAATTACTAAAGGCTTTCCCACAGAAAGGACATTCACATGATTTACCTCTAGTGTGAATGTGATCCTGTCCGTCAAGGAATGACCCTTGACTAAGTGAATTTCCAAACTGTTTGCTGACATTACGTTTCCTCCTTAAGTGAATTGATAAATGTTTAGGTGAAGATCTAGGAGTAAATTCATCACTCAAATCAGTCCATCCAACAGGATCCCCTTGCGTGTGAGAAACCTGTTATGGGAAGGAGATATGAAGCTGTTACTGGTTCACCCACATCCATGCAGACACTCATGCCTCTACATTTACACCCTAGAGCACCAGTTGTTAATAGTCTCCTGTTAAAATGTTTCCAGTGTCAGTTGCATACACATGTTGTGTTACTCCCCTGCAGGCACAAACATTCTCTTTTATTGTTTCCCAACCCAGATATCAGATTAATTTTGAAGATTTCAGTGTGTTTTAGAGACTATGAGATGAGCAATGTTAGTGCAACTGACTTTTTTTCTTAGGTTTCATGCTGCAGTTTTGAGCTCATATTAATTTCTTAACTGATTTTAGCCTATCCAAAAATTCTCCCAGAAAGAGCTCAATCTCAGCTTAATTACATACCAGCAATTGTGCTCAATTACCAACTTATCTCACTGCCAGGTCCTTCATTTGGATGACTGGTGTTCCACCCATGAAACTTACCATTGGCATGGTGGCAGATATGTGCTTCCTGTAGAGACTTTGCATGAATATCATTTCTTGTTGTCTAAGCAGACTTTCACCGTCTAAAGAAATGGAAAAAATATAGATTTTAGAATGGCATTAGGGAAATAGAAATGTAAACAAACACCAAGGTCCATGTGAGTATCTTTCAAAAGTTGGCGCTTAGTTGGAGAAACAATGTATAATAAAGAAATACTCAAGGTAGTAGAAATACTTTAAAAGTCATTGTGTATTAGAAAAAAACAGGATTAAAATATAAAAATGTAACGTGGTGGAGAGACATTGGGTCAG